CGCGGGGACTCTAGAGCGCGCGGCGCGCACCTGGTGCGGACCCGCCAGCTGGTGCGCTTTCTCAACTCTGGGATGGGTGCGGGTGGGACTGCTCCCTGACAACTTCGCTTTCAGCACTAAAAGGCCTAAAACTAGATGATAGCGATGGCCCCTTTAACATTTTGAAATTCTGTGCTTTAAGTGGATGAATTCCGTTGTAACAGAGCTGCTTTATAGAACGGCGCAGAGTGGGCAGGGATGCCCAAGGGCCCAACTCAGCGGGGTAGGGGTGGCAGAGGGGAGAACCCAGGGCTAGAGCATATTAAGTAGTAAACATGTGGCATAAGATATTTTAGATGCAAAATCCACACAACATCCACAGGGTTGGCAGTTGTTTTGAGGTTTTCCTAAGCTGCAACCTGTAATGCCTGCCAGAGATCTGTCCTGAAAGAAGTATGGCTGGAAGGCAAAAGACTTTCATGAAAATAATTTGTTCCATTGCTAGGAACACCGACCTGAAGAATATCAGATTCAGTGATTTATGCTCAAAGGTCATTTGGTCCAAGCATGTGTTTTAAATAAATAATATAGTGAAATAAAAAATTACCACTTGTTGGTAGGACGAGTACGTATGTTCATGTTTTCTCAATGAATTATCACCTCTACAAACATTATATTTAAATATTGAAACTAAAATGACAAAAAAATCAAGAACATGGTATTTTCAAAGTAACCAAGCAGGAAAATGAAACACAGAAGGGCCAGTCTTCAAGCTCTTCAGAGGAATAGGCATATCTCAAAAAGATGGGCCTAGGTGCAGGGAGTGAAAAAATAATCTAGGACACAGGAACATGGTGGTATGCATCTGTAGTTCCAGCTACTACATATTATAACTAAATCTTGGAAACACACCACATGCCAATCAACTGACAAGTGGATAAAGATGTTTTTAATACAATGGAGTACTACTCTGCCATAAAGGATGAGCTTCAGACATTTATGGCTAAATGGATGGCCCTTGAGACCATACTCTTTAAATTAAATAAGTTAGACACACGTTTAAATACTTCATTATTTCTCTGGTGTGAGAAAAAGTGGAAATAAGGACTGCAATGTATAATGGATGTTGGAAAATGGAAACAGAGGAGGAGGGAGGAAGAAAGGAAGGACAAGAAAAAAATGAAGGAAAAAATGGAAACAAAGCTTGTGTACATAGGGAGGGGAGGGGGCTTGAGGGAGGGAATGGGATAAAATAAAAATAAAATTCATTATAACTCCAGCTACTGAAGAGGAACACAACCCAATCAGGGGAATTTAGCCAGACCAGGTCTCAAGGGGGACGGGTGTGTGTGTGACATCACTTCAGTGATACAGAATACCTTGGTTCAATCCCCAATGTGTGTGTCTGCATGCATGAGGCCCTGAATTCAATATACAGCACCACAAAAGTAAATTTTTAAAAATTCCCCTATGTTCTACCACCTGCCTTGCAAGCACAAGGTCCCAAGTTCGATCTCAGTACCAAAAAAACAAAACAAAAACAAAAATTCCCCCATGTTTTTAAAAAATGGTATATATACATGAAAACAATTTGGAAAGGTAAATGACATGGTGTTCATAGTGGTTACCTCTGGGTGGTAAGATTACTGGTGTTTCTAATCCTCTTAGCATCTTAACTTTGCCAGAAAACAGACATGTTGCTTTTGTCATAAGAAAATTACTTTTAGTACTGAAGGTTCAGTGGTAGCATGCTTATTAGCATCCACAAGCCTCTGGGTTCATCCCCAGCACAAGAAAGGAAGGGGGATTACTTTCAATTAGCACAGTTCTCTCTAGTTCTGATGCTCTCCACCTCCCCACTCCACCCCAAGTGCTACAGTAAAAAATAAGTTTGGGTTTTAATAACTGTTCTTCAAACAAAATGGTTTGCAACCAAACAGGTCACAGCCACACCAGACCAAAAAGAAAACATCTCAGTTCTTTCATCCCACTGGACCACGTGACCAGAGCTAAGGTTAGGTCAATCTTTCAAAAACTCAGTCTCATGTCTTTTAAAACATGAACATAGCCAGGGATTTAGCTCAGTGGCATTCATTGCGCCTGTCTACCAAGTGCAAGGTCCTAAGTTCAATCCCCATACCAAAAAAAGCAAAGCATGCCTGGTTTTGCTTCCTGTGGGGTAATATGGCTAAGACTCGCACTCAGACTGAGGTTCTTGGTCTTCATAGGTGACCCCATTTCAGCCTTCCCAGTGTGGCCAAGTGTTGGTTACACTGCTGTGATCCATCACCACCTAAAGAGGCATCCTGATTAACTTAAGGAATTAAGATTTCAGGTCAGGTATGGCGGTGCACACCTGTGATCCCAGCGCTTGGGAGGCAGGAGGAGCGTGATGAGCTTGAGGCCGGCTTGAACTACATAGCTAGACCTTGTGTCAAAAACAAAAAACTAAGAGTTGAGAAAAATAACCATAAAGCACAAATACATTAAACGTAGGTATACATCACTGATGTCTGTATCTGCCCCAGGTGCCTCATAGCTTACAAAAGTGCCAGACCACTAGGGCACTTTGTGTGTAGAGACTCTTGTGAGAGGACAGTGAGTAGCCAAAAACCTTTTCTTCAAATATCTGCATCAGAGAAATCCCTCATTACCTTCAGCACCACAAACGTATTAAAATAAGAACTTCCCCTAGAGCCTTAACAAAGGTTTCCTTTCATACATCTGACATTTAATTCAGAATTAAGCAAGATTTTTTTTCACTAATGCTCGAGAAAAGATATCACTTAGGGTAACCCCAAATAGCGCCTTTGGGAGAGGGGTGCTGGAGATTCAACCCAGGAACCACAACCACTTTGGTTTTTGTTTTGTTTTGTAAGACAGTCAAACTGAAGTTGCATAGGCTACTCGTCTCAAACTTGCTGTCCCTCCTGCCTCTGCTTCCAGTATAGCTGGGATTACAGGTGTATACCACCACACCTCACACCTGGCTCCAAAGTAGTGCTCTGAAAAGAAATACTTATCAGTAAATTTTACTTAGCAAATTGTTGCCTTGCTAAGACTTTGCAGAAAGCTGAAAAAGTTCTGTATTTCTGGTATCATTTGATTGTGTGAAGTTTTTATTTAGGCTTCTTAAATTCCCATTTGGGAGGAAGGAGAGGGAGAAAAACAAACTTGAGAAGTTGAGGCTGCTGGCCTACTAAAATTTGAGGATCGAACTCGGGTTCTTGCTCTTGCAAGGCAGGCGGTGGAACCACTGAGCTAAATCCCCGGCCCATAATACTTTTTAACAAAATGAAAAAAAAAAATCAACCCTTTCAACCTTACCAAAATGTATTTTCAGTTAGTATGCAACACTAACATTAACTGTTTGGGTTTTTTTGGTACCAGGGCTCGAACTAGGGACCTTGTACTTTCGAGGCAGGCAGCAGCACCACTGAGCTAAATCCCCAGCACTACATCAATTGTTTTTTATACCCAACATAGTACACTATAAAATTTAACACTCTGCTAGTTATTCTGTCTCGAAAACATCAACTGTTATTTATCCCCAACATGGTACATTATAAAGTTTAACACTTCTACTAGTTATTCTGTCTTGGAAAGCACATGATCTGCAAATTAACAATGGATTAACAAAAGTGTCATAAGAATTGCGTTGGATACATGATTAGGCTGTACAAAGACATCAGAAATTCAACAATATCCAGTGCAACCAAAGTCACTTAGAAAGCTCTCAAAAGTCTTTTGGACACTGGTGTCAGGCAAGGAGCAGATTACGAGCTGCAAACATTCTGCTCTGCCTTCATGAGCCAAGAGCACCAACTGAGTCAATTTGGGCCGAAGACACACGCATAACCAGGACAAAAACCGTCAAACGCAAAGTCAAATAATTCCGAAGGGCAGCTGGTTGTTTCCTTCCTGCTAGCTCCAGCACGCACCCATGTTAAGTTCTCTCCTCGTACGCAGCCGGAGTTTCAGGCTCCTCAGGACGATCACCGGACTCCGGTTCTTCTTCAAACACGAATCTCAACCATCCGTCCGCTTCGCTCTCCTCTCTGAGATAGCACCAGATGACTAGAGCCACAATGGAGAAGCTGAGGGGCAGCACTTTCCACCAGGGCCGCTGATGCCCCTTTCCCAAGGAATGCTCCACCGACCATCGACACGGGTTGGCTTTGCTGGAGGAAAACTGAATGGGACGGTTGGGTTCCTTCTGCTCGGCCGGAAGCTGGACCCGAGCCGGGTCACTGGGAGGTAGATGTAGGCTTCTCAAAGCCCAGCCTACAAGCCTCAGCAACCGGGTAGACCTAAAAGAGAGAAAGTAGTGAGCGTTCCTACTGCCTACTTTCTCCCACCCGCTTTTTGCAGCCTGCGGTCTCCCACCCTCGAACCCCTAGACCTCTCGTGGCTCACCCGGCAACCGAAATACACAACACCTGACTCATCTCAGCCTCGGCCCGTTCGGCGTGTGGCACACGTCACTTCCGTCGCATAGAACCGGAAGTCGCCATACTAGAGCTCGGATCACGACTACAGAACGTGAGTTCGATCGCGCAACGGAAATTACGTAATGGTTCCGATGGAAACTTCCGTCGTAGGCCCCGCCCTAGCGCCCGCAAGCGCCTGCCGGAACGTGTAGTTTTCCGTCCTGCCTTGGCGAATTGAGCCGCACTGCTAGCAGCTTCATGCAGGTGAAGTGTGGCCGCAGTTCTCGGACTTGGTCGGCGGAGAGCGGTCCGCACCGGCCTAAGGGCCTCCAGGATGAGGATTTGACGCCTGCCCTTCGGTGGCCTCGAGAATAGATGGCCTTCTCCGTACTCTTCCCAGAACCGTCGGCCTCTGCGGGACCTCGTCTAGATCCCCAAGGAGTCATATTAACCACTTGACTGGCGCTCGGTCTTCACATGTGGCCTTTTGCCTAGCCCGTGCCTTAATAATACCATCTGCCCCAAAGATTGAGCCAGGCGTCGTCGAGCCTTGGAACCGTCCATGCTGGGCCAAGACCGCTGCTCCCTGAAAGGTCTTCACGTCCACCTGCGCTGCCTCAGGTTCCCAGAAGCCCTGTGCACTTGGGGCGGATAGACGGGCACTGACCACGGACCACTTGGGGAGTTCAGATACGTGACAGCCTCCGCGAGGTGCACCACCGAGGTGTGTGTGCCTGGCGGTTCTGTTCAGAAAGGCAGCTGTGATTTGGGAACGTTTCATCTTTAGAATCAGCCCTACTGAATATGATCAAATTGTAGTGGCCACCTGTCGGCAATGAAATGGATTAAAACCCTTAATGGCTGAACTGCAGTTAAAATCCTTAACAAAGGAATTCCAGTTAAAGATCTTATGCCGTCAGTAGGCAGTCATAAAACAAGAGATTTTTTAAAAATTTATTTATTTAGGTACCGGGGGGCAAACTCGGGTCCTTGGGCTTGTGAGGCAGGCAGCAGAACAACTGAGCTAAATCCTCAGCCCAACAACATCTTTTGATACCGGACGCATTCATTCCTCCCAGAGTCCCAACCTATCTTCTTTAAAAGACAGATAGCTGGGTGTGATGGCACACACCTGTAATTCTAGCACTCAGGAGGCTGAGGCAGGAGGATTGCCAAGAGTTGGAAGCCAGCCTAAACTACATAGTGAGACCCTGTCTCATGAAACAAAACAAAAAAGATAGTACATACCTCCTTAACAGCTTATCTAAAGCTAAAGCCATGAGGAAATGGTCTTGTCAAAATCATAACTGTAAACAACTCAATACTGAGGCTGGGGATTTAGCTCAGTGGTTCCACCGCCTGCCTCACAAGCACAAGGATCCGAGTTCGATCCCCGGTACCAAAACAACAACAACAACAAAAAACTCAATAATCTACCTCAATAAGGGCGCTCCCTAAAGATCTGTAAGGTGCTAAATGACCCAGGAAAAAGGCATTCTTTAGATGATTACACTTGCTGCCTAGACCCTTTTAAAAATACATCCTCAAACCATCATGAAAGCCCCAATCTCCCACCCTGATTACACAGTTCATCTCTTGAAAAATAAACTTCCCTCTTTTCTACCATCCTTGTCTACTGGTAAATTATTTTACAAGCTGTCCCTCTGAATGCCATCTCACATGGCACTTATGTGTACCTAAGCCACATTAAAAACTACAGCTCATCGTGTCATACACAAACCATGCACACTGGGCTTACCACAGATAGTAAAAATGCAATACAAAAAGTAAAAATGCTCCTATTACCAGGGTTCTGGGATGCTATAGATTTAAAGATGCTTTCTAGGTTCTTGTCATCCTGAATAAGAATTGACTGGCCAGACAACTGCAAAAAGTACTCTAGTGAGGTTTTACATTTATTAAATGTATTAAAGATAGGAAAAGAAGTACATTCCGCAAGGTGAGAGTTCACCACTGGGGGAGAACAGTGGCCCAGAGCTTAAAGGTCACCTCTTTTGTATTCCCCCACTCCACAGGGCTGCCCACAGATTTAAGCCTCCCTATCAGAAATCTGCTTGATTTCTGGAGAGCATAATTGAACATAGTGCTTTCTGGTCCCAGGTGCAGGTCTTGGGACTATTTTTCTGCCTGAGTCCTGAATCTCAGTGATTGATGGGTAGGTAACACCCACTTTCCCAGCCAGTTTGCCACACCTGAATACTGTTCCTCACCCCCTTCTCTATCACATGGGGCAGTCAGCTATAGAACCAGAAACCTTGGCCTCCTTTGTCCTCAAGTGAAATCCAGTGCTTTCTTTGCGGTGTTCTAAAAAGTAGGGAATGGTGCCTAAGAGCCCCACAGAATGGGAAAAGTCTGGACTACAAGGTGACCCTTTGGGGATTACTGGTAGTGACGTACATATATCTGTTCACAGTGGAGACCTTGCCTCATTCACACAGAATGCCAGTGGGGTAGTCTGGGATGTGCTGGAACACTCGAGAGCTAGAGGTGCTGTCACCAAGCCACAGAATGGGACATACAGCCCCTCACAGTGGAACAACAGGTCCCCTGAAGACATGGTGTTGTGGAAGAAACTGGTAAATGACATACAGAGACACAGAAGTGGGTAAAACAAAAAACGTTTACTTTGCTAGCAAAGGGTCAGTCCGTACCAAGAGCTGTACCAAATGACCGACCCTGGGTTGGGTGACAATCTGTCTTTTATAGGAGTCTTACAATCATGAGTTTATTTTAGGTGATAAGACATTCTAGTTTCCAAGTTCCCATCACAAAGCATGGTCACAAGGACGGTACACTGTTAAACAAATGTGGCATTTTCTTTCAGGATGTTTATCTTTAGCTATTCCAGCCCATGAGAGTGGGGGTCAGAGTTAGGAAAGCAGGACTGGTGACACTCTTTTTATCTAAAGTTTTTATTTCAGAACATTTGCAAAAGTTCTATCAATGGAGCTCACCTTCACTAACTCACAGGCATTTGGTGGATTCTAGGCAGGCCAGAAAGCCCTCTGCAGCAAAATGGAACTTGAATTTTTCCATATGCTAGGAAATAGGAAGTTGTGGAAAATTTAAATTGATTTAGAAAATAAAACATGGTGCTCAGTGATGCCACTGCCTGCCTCATAAGCGCAGGGTCCCAAGTTCAATCCCTGGTACAAAAACAAACAAAAAAAGGAACTGTTCTAGAAAATAAAATTTGTGCAATTTTTTGCACAAATTTCAATGTTTTATTGGTATTTTATATATACATGGTGATAACATTCATTATAGGGAATTTGTACCTGTGCCTGATGAGTCTTGCTTCCTTTTTTTCCCAGTCCCCTCTTCTTCCTCCAATCCTTTTCCCTCTTTACTTACAAAAGTTTTGTTTCCATTTTGTCCTTCTATTCCCTTTTTCTCTTATCCCTTCTTTCCTTTCCCCCTTCCTTCCCTGTTCCCCTTCTCATTTGAACATTTTCTTCCAATTTTCCAATATCTATTATACATTTTAGTCCTTATTTCCACTCTCAGGTTTCTCACACCAGAAAAACAATGAGGTATTTAAACATATGGCTTTCATTTATGTCACTGAAAAGTATGGTCTCAAGGTGTATTTAGCTAGAAATGTCTCAAGCTTATCCTTCTTTATAGCAGAGTAGTTCTTCATTGTATAACAATGTTTTTCTTTATTGATTTATGGGTTGATTGGCATGTGGGCTGTTTCCAAGATTTACCTATTACAAACTGTGCTGCTATAAACATAGGTGTGCATATATCTCTGTGGTGTGCTCTTAATTCTGTGGGGAAGGTACCAAGAAGCAGAATAGCTGGGTCAAATGGAACTTCTAATTTTACATTTTTGAGGAATCTCCACAATGACTTCCACAGTGGTTTCACCAGTTTACACTGTCACCAACAGTGGAGAAGTGTTCCTTTTTCCCCCATAGTGCCACCAGCATTTGGTTATTGGTTGATTTCTTGATAATAGCGATTCTTTCTGGAGTAAGACGGAATCTCAGCATTGTTTAATTTTCATCTCTCAAATGACCAGTGATGTTGAACATTTTTCATACACCATTTCTACTTCTTCCTTTGTATTGGGTTTTTTAATTTGGGGGATTTGATTTTTTTTTAGTTCTTTATATATTGCAGATATTAGTCATTTGAGGAACAGCTGGCAAAATTGTTTCATACATTGTTGAGTTGTCTCTTTATTCTGTTGGTGCAAAAGCTTTTTAATAGGATGAGATCCCAGTTGTTGATTCTTTGTGATATTACCTTTGTGATCGGTGTTTTCTTCATAAAGTCTTTACCTACACCAGTCTTGAAGAATTCTACCTATTCTATCTTTCAGCAGATTTTATATTTCTGTTTTAATATTTAGGCCTTTGATCCATTTTGATTTTAGTTTAGTGCATGGTGAAAGATATGGAAAGTCAGTCTTTCCAGCACCATTTCTTAAAGAAGCTATCTTCCTTCCATTGAATGTGTTTGGCTCCTTTGTCAAAGATAAGGGGGCTGGGTGTGTTTGGAGTTATTTCTGGATCTTCTAATCTGTTCCATTATCCTTGGGTTTTTTTTTTTTTTGGTCTGTTTGTTCGTTTGGTTGGTTTGGGGGGGGTTGCCAGATTTTTATCACAGTAGCTTTGTAGTATAATTTCAAGTCAGGGATTGTGATGCCTCCAGCTTGCCACTGTTGCCCAGAATTGCTTTTACTATTCTAGGTCTCTTCTAGGACTTTTTAATCTACTTCTGTGAGATACGCTATTGGTATTTTGATCAGGATTGTATTAAACTTATATAATAATTTTGGAAGTTTGGCCATCACCTCCCCTATTACCAGGGATTGAACTAAGTAAGGACCTTGAGCTTTCCAGGCAGGCACAGCACCACTGAGCTACATCCCAGGCCCTGCAATTGACTTTTGAGTGTTGACCGAGCACCCAGCTTTGCTACTGAATTTGGTTATTAAAACTAGAAGTTGGGCCCAGGACATAGCTCAGTGGTTCTACTGCCTGCCTCACAAGCACAGGGACCCGAGTTTGATCCCCAGTACCCCATCCACCCCAAAATAAAAGTCTTTTGATGGAGTTTTTGGGGGTCTTC